GTTTCCTTACTCCACACGCCTAATAATAATCCCTCCAAAATAAAAAAACAGTAATAAATTAGTCATTTTCAATCCACGACTGTTGCTGCTGGACGCTGCTGTGCACAATTGGCTGCCGCATTTCGCCCACAAATATTGAGTTAATTCACTTTACAGTATATTCTGTGAAGCGCTTTGAGATATTGAGAAAAGCGCTATATCAAATGCAAGGATTATTATTATTATATCTTTAATACCTACCTGAACAGACAGATGGGACATTGGTTTAATGTCCGATGGAAAGGACAGCATCTCCGACTATGCAGCACACCCTCAGTGCTGCATTGAGGCACCAGTCGAGACAGTGTGAGCTCAAAGTCCCGATACGGGGCTTCTACCCACAGCCTTTTGACTCAGAGGCGAGAGCGCTACAAACTGAACCTTCTTGTCTCTAAATCGAGTTGCTTTGAAAATGGGGGTCTAAGTTGCATGTGGTGTGAAACACGTTCAATGTATTTAATAAAGAGGAAATTCCACATTACCCTGAGTTACATAATTTAAGACAACAAAAATGATGGCAGGTTATTTTATAATCCTTCACCTTTGTAGTTAATTGCATAATCACAAACACCCGCAATTCACTTTAAAGCACGTTCCTAATTGCATTGAGGCACCAGTCGAGACAGTGTGAGCTCAAAGTCCCGATACGGGGCTTTACACAATTGCTTTACACAATTAGGAAATTTGACTCCAAAGCGCAAATGCAATAGAATAAATTGTAGAATATTGCAGCTTTTAGTTAAACACTATTTGCCCACAATTCACTTTACAGTATATTCTGTGAAGCACTTTGAGATGTCTAGAAGACATAATAAGGCTCGATATCAAATCCAAGGAATATTATTATTATTATTGATTGTTTAATACGCTACTTTTGCAGTTTAAATAATATTCACAAATTGCAGCCTCAATTTTCATTCAAGTTATAACATTTAACACAACTTTCAGTGCCTGAGAGATCTTCCTAATTTGTGTCATTAGCTTTCAAATACCTTACGTAAGAGTTTATGCAAAATGTACGCGCGCCTTTTATCAAAAAACACAACAATAATTTTGTAACTCAATCCACGACTGCTTGTAGGACACTGTTGTGCGCAATTGGCTGCCGCATTTTGCCCACAAATATCCAGTTCAATTCACTTTACAGCATATTCTGTGAAGCACTTTGAGACGTCCAGAAGACGTAAAAAGCGCTATATCAAATGCAAGGATTATCATTATTATTATTCCAAGATGGAGTTGGTTTTACATTACTTTCAACTTATTTCAATGTTTTTAAAGGCTATAATTTATAAACGTACCAGCCTCCCCCGCTCTGCAAATTTGCTTGTTGCGCCTTATTTCATCTATTATCTTCCTCGATGCACGAGTGATTTTCCTGTTCCGAAAAGTTTCCCTCTTTGTGACATAAATTTAGTATTAAATAATGATGTAGCTTCTGATGGTATATGTGGTTTACAAATCCAAATGCAATTTTTAGTGGTATCTGGTTTGCCTACAAGAATACACGCTCACTGCAGTTTACAGTGAGTCCTGTGAAGCGCTTTGCGATGTCCTCTCGACACTAATGGTGCTATATTAAATGCAAGATTTTTCTTTGTTATTCATCACAATATTGGGCTACAGCAAAGGTGTCAGCCTGGCTAGCACTCTCACCTCTGAGTCAGAAGCTTGTGGGTGTGCACTTTCAGACCCCTTTCAGAAAAATAATGCATAAGTAATGTAACAGAAACGTGACTGTTATAACACAACCTGGAAAATAAGTAATACAATGCACAGGTAATGAAACTAACACAATCCTCGCTGTAACCCAAAATAACGTAATGTAACGGAAAATGTTTCTTTTGTTGCACTAAATATTATGTTTTCAAATATATATATATCTAAAAAACAAACAAACAACCAAACATAAATAACTGTCCGTAACTGTTAAACTGAGGGCCCGTTCAGGTTTGCCTGTTCAGGTGGATGTTAAAAGTGGCCAACAATTCTGCCAGGTCCCCAAAAAACTTGGTCATTCACTTTATGTTTGTTGGAAATTGCTGTCCACACCCCACTGTAAATCCCGTGCAGGTATATCAGATTCAAAGATTATCATTATAACATTTGTATTCCCTTCAGCGATCGTGCTAAGGAGCTTCTCCCCCTCTCCTCCCCAACCCCCCCCCACACACGCAGTTTTTTTCCATGATCGCTCTACATAGACTGGGATGAACCTTACAAACTTTAACAATGCCTTTATTGAAAAAATAAGAATGTTCAATTGACATCATACATTGACATATAATGTCAGTGTGGTTTCCTCTCCACGACATCAACCCCTTTAATGTCTGGCTACACAGTCTGCAAGTATAGTGTTTTACAGTAGAGTTCTTCAAGTTTCGGGTGGTATTGAACAGAAAGCCTCTTCCCCTTCTCCAGGAAAAGGTTATTTCATACCATCAGATAAGAAGTACGTCATTACTGTTTTTCGACCGTGCTTATGGTCACCTCTCTCCCCCCTCCCAACCCCAGCTCGGAGTCAGGCTCAGCCACTGTTTAAATGCTCTGAGACTTCCTGATTTGAGTTTCAACTTCCACATCCATTTAATAATTCTATAATAATCCTTGCATTTGATATAGCGCCTTACCTCATCATTGAGACGTCTCAAAGGGCCTCACAGAATACACTGTAAGGGGAACAGATTGCAAAATGCTCATTTCTTTTAATATGAAAAACATCCTCACAAGTTAAGCAGATGAACTCACTGTCCCTAGAAGAAATGACTGTGTTCAACTTAATTTGTTTATCTTCCACTTCAATGCACACCCTTGATTTAAAAAAAACTTGTGTTTGTTCTTAGAAATTCAATCTCACTTTTGTCACCAGAAGCTGTTTTGTGGAGCAGTAAGGTGTGTGTGGGCGTTGTTTAAATTTTTCATTTTCTTTGAAAAACGTCTAGACCTGGAGGTGGTTAACAGGTAATCTGTTCGTCACAGTTGACATAGGTTAAATATTCCCATTCGAGTCTTTCTGGCCCACCCTCCTGTGCGTTTGAATATGTTGGTGCCTGATTCTTCTGATCACTTGTTAACTAATGTTTACTTGAGTTTCCCAGCTCCCTGGCCTATAAAAACATACAGTCACTAACCTAAATACACAGTGAAGGGCGTGACGCAATTGTAATTTGTTGTTGTTGTTGTTCTGTCCTCCACCTAATTGTCTCCTTTGCCTTTCTTTCCCTGCCCCCCTTCTTTGTTTGTCCTTATAAACTGCCCCCTTTCAACATCCCCCAAATAAAAAAAAACTCCATAGATGCTGCCTGACCTGCTGAGTGTTCCTCGCGACATCTGTTTTAAATAGAAATGCAAGCTGTTAAATCAATCAATAAATCAATCAATCAATCAATCAATCAATCAATCAATCAATCAATCAATCAATCGATTTGATATATTTCACAATGAAGGACATCTCAAACTGTAAAGACGAGTGCCTGTGTATTTTTATTGGCAAGTAAAACTGAACAAACAATTCACATGTAGCAATGTCCCACGTACACCTATGTAGTGAATAATTAGTTTTTTCTGGGAGGATTGTTGGCAAGGAGAAATTCTCTTCACTTTACAAATACGCCACGGTATCTTTAACGTGCAGCTGAAGAGGCAAACCTTGGTTTAACTTCTCAACCGAAGCACGACACCTCCCTCCCCAGCACTGACTGCGCTGTCAGTCTGGATGCTTGAATTCAAAGCCGTGATGTGAGGCTTGAATCTACGACTTTCTGACTCAGAGGCAAGAGTGCTAACCGATGAGCCAACCATGTTGCTAAGGGTTGCTGGACTAAATAATAATGATAATAATAATCCTTGCATTTGATATAGCGTCTTATCGCGTTCTTCCAGACATCTCAAAGCGCTTCACAGGATATACTGCAAAGTAAATTGACCGTATATTTTGTGGGTGAAACCCGGCAGCCAATTGCGCACAGCAGTGTCCCACAAACAGCTGTGGATTGAGTGATATATGTATAAAAGGTACATATTATCACGCTTCCATCGGAACAGTTAGGCAACATGCAGCTTATGACCTTCGAGGGAGGTTTCCAGGAGCCCTAACTGAAACCCTTTGGCAGAATACACAGTCATTACACTATAGAGTAAAATCCTCCAAGGGCTTAGAGATATCCCCTGACATGAATGTTCCTATGTCAAGTGCAAGGATAATTATTATTTTTATTATTGATATTAGCTGTTATAGTATTTACTTTCACTATTCATCACCTAGATATCCATCCAAAAGAGCAACAAGATTTCCATTTCTTGCAGTATAAATTCATAATAATAATAATAATAATTGGAATAATAATCCTTGCACTTGATGGAACTCCATTCACATCGGGAGGTCATCTCAAAGCGTTACAGAGGTTTTCGTTAGTGTAAAGTACTGTACTGATAGACAAATTAGCAGGTCATTATGAGATTGTCATTCTCCTTTGAAATAGCGCCTTGTTTATCTTATTTAAAATATGTTTACCATCGGAATGAATTCCTTGAATTGCTTTGTGTGTGTGTGTCTGTGTGTGCGAGTGAGTGTGTGGAATATCAGAGTTCTTTTAAAGATCTTAATTGCAATGCCATCTTTTCTCTTGTTCGTCCTTCTCTGTAGCTACTCCAAAGAGCAATTCTTTCGGCTGCGAAAGGAGGCCAACAATTCCACTTGTGCAGTGAAGGACCGAGGCTGTTGCCTCTTCTCTTCTCCACTTCCTCCTCTCCCCCTCCCAGCAAAGGAGACACCCACTTACCACCTTAATATTGTATCTGAAGAGGAGCCGCTCCTGGACTCAGTTTACACTTAAGCTTCTTTTTTGTTATCCTGCGCCAGTCCTGTGAGCTTCCAAAAGGCCCTTGACAAAGTACCACATGAGAGACGTCTCCACAGCCACGTGCAGCAAGCGGCAGGTGAAACGTGTCGAAGCTCGGGCATGTTTCCCTCGTACGACAACTTGGTGGACTTCGAGCCCCAGTGTTTGAAGAACGGGGCCTTCCGCACCAGGCTGACTCCTAGCTCCCGCAGGAAGAGAGAGTTCATGCCCGACGAGAAGAAGGACGCCTCGTACTGGGAGAAGAGGCGCAAGAACAACGAGGCGGCCAAAAGGTCCCGTGAGAAGAGACGCCTCAACGACCTGGTGCTGGAGAGCCAGGTGCTGGCCCTGAACGAGGAGAACACCTGCCTCAGGAGAGAGCTCCTGGCTTTGAAGATGAGATACAGCCTCATCAGTGCCTCGGCCTACGCTCAAGAAGCCCAGATCATCCAGGGCTGCATGCAGAAGTGCTACTCCCGGCACAAGGTGCTCGAAATGGACCCGCACTACGTGGAGCTGAACAATTCGTTCCTGAGGAACGGCTGTTGCGTTGTGACGCCCCACTCGCCCAGGCTGTCGGTGTCACCCACCGCCGAAGCGAGCGACCAGCCTGCGAACGGAGAACGGAGACCTCATAGCGCCGTCGGCAGCCCTCACGAGCCGAAAGCCCAGCATAACTCAATCAGCCATCTAGTGTATCCCAAATACCTGCATCCTTTCCACGAAAAGTACCCCGACAGCAGTGCCTGGCTGGACACCAGGCCCTCGCTTGCTTCCCCAAAGGCGGCAGAGGTGGACGGTAAAAATAGCAAAAGGGAGTCCGAAGAAGAAGAAGAAGAAGACGAAGAAGGGGAAGATGAGCATCAGGTTCCTAATATGCAACGAGGCTCTCCCACAACCGACCTCAGACTCCAGTATCCCACGGCCCACAAACCAAACCACTCTGCCCTTCCTCACAAACTGCGAATCAAGACCAAAGCCAACGGCGCCAAGAGCGACTCGGAGTTCGACGTTCTGGACAAGGACACGGCACATCTCGGGAACACCAGATGTGCCTCATTGACAGAGATCAGAAATGGGGATGTAAGCGTGTGTGGCAGCCTGTGCCACTACAAGACAGCATTTAAGCCTGTCCTGCCCATCTATCATTCAGATTAACTGGAGGAGGTGAAAGATGCTATACAAATGTAATTTGTTGTTATTGTATTTTTTTTGCGCTACAACTATGGGTTGATAAATCGCCCGCTAGTTACATGTCTGCTTGCGTCCTATCAATGTGAATGAGTTGACTCTTTAGTAGTGTCACAGCTTTGAAAGGTAGATGTCGGAATTTTCATGCTGTTCTGAGAAAACAAACAGGACATGATGGAGATACTATTTGTCTGCAAATCAATGTAAGAAAGAGATCACAGGTTTAGATTTTGGACAATTATAAATCCACACCGATGGGTCAGCCTTCCCACTTAATGCTGTGCATCATTCTCGAGAGATCGAGCAATGGAACGAGGAATATATGGTTTGATTGTGATTTTTTTTCCCAATGGTGCGTATTAATGCTATGATTTACAGAGACAGACGATTGCTGTCAGGACAGCACAAGAAAGCTTAACAGTGCAATTTTTTAACCACTGTGTAAATATGCATTTTTTTCTCCCCTTTTTCTGGCCCAAGAATGTCGAGGCTGGAGACACCCTTTTATTAATTTAGCTGAAATCGACTAACCGAACCGAAGGACAAAAACCGAACTTTATAGCTTGCCTGTTTTCTTTGAAACCTACTTTTGCAATGGTACTCTGGAAGGCTGAGATCAAATGGGCTGAAGGGCTTTCTTCACCCAAATGTCTCTTGAGGTCTTGTAATCCTGTGAAGTGATCTCTTCAGGAAATGGTGTCTGAGAACCTGAGCAATAGTGAATCAAGCTACAAATCTACCAGAACAATCCTTGCATTTGATGTAGGGCCCTTCATATCGGGAGGACATCTCAAAGCCCTTCACAGGAATTCACTGTAAAGTGTTGGCGGCAGTGTATTTTGTAGGCCAGCCTTTACACAGACTGTTTGTGAGAAAGAGCCCCAACCCAAGTCCTTACCGTTTGTATTTATCTTTTCGACGTGAACCACATTATAAATTCACATTAGGGTGTCACTTAATGCTGTGCATCTAGAGAGGGGGAGAGAGAGAGAAAGCAATGGAAAAAGCTCCCAAAATTAAAATTAAAAAAATGGAAAATAGTGATATTTCTGCTTTGCACTGCACCGCTATTTCACTACATCCAGGCATGATGTGTCTCCTGTGCAGCATCAAACCTGAGACCCATTCAACACAGGAGGATCAGATCAAATGAAGGGGTTTTACCCTCCAAACCGATCTCAAAATTGCAGTAATCACTGAGTGCAATCAGAGAGTAAATCTGATGTATATTCGCAAAGGAACGTTTGAACTTTGTCTAGAATTACAGAACCATTGAATTGTAGGAATATTTTGATCTTTACTGCCGTTATTTCATTCACATTACATCAAAGTGATTAATTATTTCGCCCACAAAATACACAGTCAGTCAATCCGCTTTGCAATACAGTATATTCTGTGAAGAGCTTTGAGACGTCGCAACGACATGATAAGGCGCAATATCAAATGCAAGGATTGTTGTTATTGCTAATCTGAATAACCATGGTAGAAATACAGCAAACCCGTGACGGATTCGATGAGCATTTTAATGTTGGAATCAAACAGGTAGTTTTCAAAGTAAAAAGTTGGGTGCAACATGTTAGAAAAGCGCGATGACAGAATTTTCATTGATGCAGAGGGCCCCGATTATTCATGTGTTATGTGTCTTTGGATGCTTATGAATGAAACTGTGACCCAATTGCTTCCTGCATTGGCATCGTTTGCACAATTTCATCAATTCAATTTTTTTTTTTCCCCAACTCTCCCCCGTGACATTTTTGTGAGAGCTGGAAAATTCCACTTGACGTGCAGCTGAGGAAAGTTGCATTTATTACTGATGTGCTGAAACGGCAAAAGCGAAAACTACCGAGCTTGCGAGCAACACTGAGGCATGTTAATTTGGGCTTTTATTAATCCTTGGAGTTTCTTGCTACATCTAATCTGTTGTAGCTATCCAGTATTCCACTAAAGTATCACTTTATTCTAATCTGGACCAAAGGTGTATTTTACTGCACTTGGCATGAGAATTCATCTCCTTCTCGAAGCATCAGTGCCTCTAATAGTGGATTTCAATTAACTTTTTTTGCAGAGTAAAAGTTAATAAATGGAATTAATTTAGAAAAGACAAATTATTGATGATTTTCTTTGCTTAATGGATATTTACCTCGTAAAGACTTCCAAATGAACCATATCTTGTGGAGTCCTGTAGCTCAGTGGTTAGAGCACTCGCTTTGCAAGTGAGAGACCTGAGTTCAATTCCAGGCAGAGGGCGAAACCTTGGGCAAGTTTCCTTACTCCACACAGAGCCTAATAATAATCCCTCCAAAACCAAAACCAATAATAAATTGGTCATTTTCAATCTACGACTGTTTGTGGGACATTGCTGTGCACAATTGGCTGCCGCGTTCGCCCACAAATATGCAGTCAATTCACTTTACAGTGTGTTCTGTGAAGCGCTTTGGGACGTCCTCCCGACGTGAAAAGCGCTATATCAAATGCAAGGATTATTATTATTATCTACACACTGGAGGTTGATTACTGCAACAGGGAATCTACCTACACATTTTTTGTTGACTGTGCAAGACAAACAAACCTATTAACACGTAGGGTGGACCTCAGAGAGGTTGAAGTGAGTGTGAGGATCATGAAGTCGATCCATTTTGCAACAGAAATTATACATATGATCATTGCTAGCATCAGTAAGCTACATCAAGGTGCCTTGACAGTCAAGTTGAGTATACGTTAACTGAAACTTTGAGCCTTTTGCTTTGGTTGCCCACGGTGCTGAGGACAGTCGAACCATCCCACAGCTCAGCTCAGCCAACTGAGCGTCCACTAGTCTCGCATTCTGTTTGGTTCATTTTCAAAACTGAGTTCTCAAAATTATTCACTGTGTGAATATCACTTAAAAAGGTTTAATGGTTTAATTTGAGGCCACTATCTGGCAAACTACTCACTGTTCATTCAGCCAGGACCACTATTAGGCCTTTAGGTTGCAGGGTCGATGGGAGCCAAGTGGGAAAAATTGTTAGCCTCACTCTATCCCCATCATTGCCTCTCCAAGTCTTCTGCTGAGCCATGCTGGCCTGTCATTTAACATTGCCTTGTAGCCCTGCGACCCTGCCTGTCTCAGGAACCTGACTCACTCATCCTACAGGCCATGTGAATTGAAATAATGGTCCTATATTCAGTGTTTGTTAAAGCCAAACAAACCTCTCTGGGGTTTCAATTCTTTCTGTGCTTTGAAGCATTTAACTCTTTTGAACGATAAAATGTGGAAACCTGTGATAGGACAGTGCCTTTTGACATAGGAATTGTTCCTCTTTGGCTTGATAACTTGCCTACTTGGGACGTCCTCCCGACGTGAAAGGCCCATACAAATGTAATTTTGTATTGTACTTCCAGCCAATTAGGCCTAGAATCTTAAACATAGTTAACTATGTGAAACTGTTGGATAAAACAATGTATTGATTTATAGTTTGCTTGCCCTGTTTTAAGTTACCTGAGAACTCACATGAGCTGTGATTTTTTGTGTGTGCGTGTGTGTATGGTTATAAAAAATGTGCTTTATTCTAGAAATATCATAATTCATTTTGTATGTATATTTACAAACAAAAATGTAATAAAAATTGATTATTAAAACAAAATGTGTGTTGTGTTGCAAGTTTAGTTCCAGAGCTTTGGAAAATGTTTTGAATTGGGCTGTGTTGAGACGCTCTCCCAATCCCTCCGCCTTGCCCCCTCCTTCCACTTCTTTTAGATCACGACGGAAGACTGGGCTTACGGTCACCAGCTCCTCCGCCCGGCTTGGGGTCAGGCTCCGCCACAGTTAAGCGCTCCGAGATGCTGCCCCACGTGAAGGGCGCTATATAAATGCAAGTCGTTGTTGATGTTGCATCACCCGGGAATGATTGGCGTCCATTTATAATGCGCAGAACAGAAATTTGCGTCTCAATCATTTAATGTGCTGAACCGACATGGTTATAATTAATAATCAAAGAAATGAAACTAGGGGGTTTGCAGCGCTACACTCGGCTGACAGGCCCACATCATTCTTTATACTAATATTTTATAACAATAAGATCTCCTATACCTCTTTATCTCCTTCCCTTCAACAACAATAACAACAAGGTTACATTTGTATAGCACCTTTCACGTCGGGAGGATATCCCAAGGCGCTGGACAGTGTACAGCATTTCAGACCCGAGCTGGGGTTGGGGGGGTAATGGAGGGGAGGGGAAGGGGGTGGCCGATGGCATGGTCGAAGAGGAAGGTCTTGAGGCGGGACTTGAAGGAGTCAATGGAATCCTCACCTAACAGTTAAATAACACCTTCTTGAATTTGCTGACAGAACCTGCCTCCACCATCTCTCTGGGTAGTCTAGACATGTCAATGTATTGAATGCCTCTTTATAACTAGAATTAAATCCGAGCTATCTGCTCACTGTCCCTTTTCTGGGTTTGAGTCTGTAGTCTCTTGTTCTCATGTTAAACTTCTTAATTAGCGTTTGATTTATTTCTGTCCTTCAGTAGTTCAGTGAAATCTCTCCGAGGCCTTGTCTTCTTCAATGTGCATGTTTCTAGCATCCATTGCCCCTCCTTAAAAATGATTACATGTATTACGTGATGCTACCTTTCACAGGTAACATGGCTATTTACAAACAAGACGGATGCTGTGGGTGATTTAGTCTGAAAGGCTGCTATGATTGTGATAGATCGAGTCAGACTGGCTCTTGGCACGGAGTCAGAAGGTGGTTTAAGCTCCACCTAGGGACTTTTAACTCACATAGTCTAGGCCGACACGCCAATGCAGTGGTGTGGGAGCATTGCATTATTAGTAGAATGAGGCGTTGTCATTCGGATGAGACATTAAACCTGTTCAGGTGGATGATAAATATACCATGACACTACTCGAAAAGAGAAGGGAGTTTCTCCCGGTGTCCTGGCCAACGATCCCCCACAAGGTAAAACTTTATGGCTGTTTGTAGGGCA